TTGAACCTATATGGGATACGATATGCATAGTAAAGACTAACTTTATTTATTCATATTGGATTCAATTTCAAGGGTTATCATGCTTAGTATATAATTATTTAATTTTATACAAATAAAAGAAATTTATAATGAAAAAATGAAATATATTGACACAATCACATCTTGTTTTTATTTACAATTTTTGAAACATTACGTAATGATGATGTCTGGCATAATCATGGGACGTGAAATATAAATAAAGGGCTTCTCGTTCTACTCAGGTTTTCAAGTTTTCCCAAAAAAAAAAAGAACACACCCTCTAGAGCAATGTCAAAATATATATCTGTTAATTTCCAGAAGTCCTTAAAGGACAAGCCGGAAATAGTAGTGGTAGATGGTTCATCTTCTAAGGCAGAAAAAATAGACGTTGCTCCTAGAGTAGTTGAGAAAAGCAAAAAAATTTCGACCAAAAGAGTTGAAGTTTTGCAGACCTCAAATGTGTCTTCTTTTTCCTACGATTCAAAAAAAATTACAGTTAACAATTCTAACTCTATTTCCACTAAAAGAAATAACCAGTCCAGCGTGACAGAAGAAAACCTTAAGAGTAAAGGTTTGCATAAATTAGGGTCTTCCTAGCATCATTATCAGTTTAAAATCTTTGACTAATAGCAGGTATTCTGCAAAATAATAGGTCGGCCCCGCTTACTTGAAGAATCATCTATTTTGCCGTCGAGGAAAGTCAGTTCAAAGATAGTTCAGAGTAAGAATTTTGTATGTGGTTTGTTATAACCCTCTCCGGTTAACCCTTTTTTATTCATTGCATTGCATCCAGACCCGGTTCTCTCTCAAGTGCATGATGTGGGCACGAAATCAGGAAATGATTACTCTCTCTCTTTAGCCTCAAACACTTTCAATCCGTTTTCACGATCAGGTTACGAACCACAGGTATCGGCCATCGCAGGACCCTCAGGAACTAGTTTAAAGTCGGAAAAGAAAAAGAAAATCAATATTCGGTACATTCCGTATGAGTCAGTGCCACCCCCGATCAAACCCGATAGTAAGTTATTGTTCAATCATTTGAATAAGCCGTTACAAAAATTTACTACCGGCGTTATTGCGGCTCAAAACTTTCCTAAAGCAACGAACGGAGATTTACACAAGATATGTGATAGATACTGTTTAAAACCAAATATTGTGGTTAAGCAAAATATCTCTAGATTATATCAGGATACCAGCATGGAAAAAATTATTGCAGATATAGAAGATCGCGTGATGGAAGATATGACCATGAGATGTGCGAATCGTTAAGGCCTTATTAATGTAGGGTAGTAGATAAATTGATAGGATCGCATTGTACATAGTGAAAGGTGTAAGTCAAAACAAAATTGCATTCCAATTCGAGAATAACAAATAAATTTGTTTTATTCGTCATGATTTTAAATCTTTGCGAAAAGGAAATCACACGTATGACTAAGATACTTGAAATCAGGAAACACCAATCAAGTTTCACAATGTGCATTTTTTTGTATATTAACAAAGGTAGGAAACATTAAAGAATCTTTGAATAGACTGATAAGATCGACATATAATGATCTACATGTTAAAACATCCTACATGTTGATTATATTATATTGTTCAGAAGGGACATTTCACATGGTGACAGGCTCATCAATCAATAACGGGGTAAACTTGTGTTCGCGTTTACTCTCTTTAATTGTTGCCAGATTGACACCAAGAAAACCGCTCACTACCAGCAAAGCACCGAGCCAATATCCTGGGTTCATGATTATTCCTTTAAAGACATAATCCCCAAATAATGCTAATGGTATTGTCAATGATAGCCCAAGCGTAACCACTAACGGTGATGTCATGAGTACAGACAATAGCCACAGATAATCTGAAAGAAAAGTACCTACCAACGCATTAACCATGATCATAATCCAAACGTTACCATCGGGTGGAAGTTGGAATTCCTCAACACCCGTGACGTGAAGTAACAAAAAGAGTGGCCATAATAAAAAAATATTATAAAGACCAACGAAACCGAAGAATAAAGGCATGTTAATGCGAGATTCATCTTGTATTCGAAGCTTCAGCAAAACTGTGTAGCAACCGTAGAAAAATGCACCAACGAGCGCAAGGGAGTCACCGAACAAATGATCAATGGGATTATGCTGGTTCTCGTCGGGTGCCTTAATCGATATCAGAAAAACACCGATGACGCTGGTAATGAATGATGAACGAAAGAAATGAATTAAGCATATGTTCTTTGACATGTGTTTAATAGGAAGGGGATTTAAAATTAACCTAATGATGACCGTCAGAAATTTGATAAGTGTAAACTTTTCGATCCCAGCGAGCGAACCGATACCCAATGTGAAGAAACCTATGTACCAAGTGATGAGAAGGATTGAATACCGGTTCCTAATATTCGTAATTACATTTTCCATGTCTGACCTGATGTTGACGCTAAAATTGTACTACTCGCAACGGTCGTATACGCCAGGGACGCATTAGTGCACCAATTGGCTATCATTTAATCATACAGACAAACAAGTTAATCAAATACGTTTGGCATATTTACACGAGGGGAGAAGGGATTATACCTGCAAACCATAACACACAAAAAGAAAAACTTAATCTGGCGACCTACGTCATAACGTAAAGTGCAAAGTGTGGAATTATGAATAAGTGAATGTCAATTCGATCGCACCCTCACGCACTCCTACCTCACGTATCCTAAGCTTTTCTTCATCGCGAACGGATGAAAGTAGATCATGCGGGTCAATGTAATGGC